ACACTAAGGAACTGAACCGAGAGCCTTCACACAGTGATATATACCTCCTGCCCTTTTTATTTGAGACAGCGTTTCGCCAGGTTCCCTAGGTTGGGCTCTAACATTCGATCCTCCTGCCTCAGGCTCCCAGCGTGGGGACTAGCAGCGTGCGCCACCTCTCCGACGTTAGTGCATCTGCGTAAACCCGCCCTTCTCATCGGCCAGGCACCCTAGATCACCCGCGCCCACCTCCCAGCGGCAGACTGGGAGATCGTCAAGCTTTGCCGAATGAATGAGTGAACAAATACAGCACTGAATGGAGAATTCGAGCCCTTCCTATGCCATCTCCGGCCATTCCCAGCCAGCGCTGGCCTCAGCCAACTGCGTCCACTCGGGATCTAACGCTCACCTAACTGGCCTAGGACGCCTGGAAAGACGGTGGGACCAAAACTCTCAGCTCAGGTTGCGCGGGCGCTGCCGGAAGGACGAATCTCACCACCCCCGGCAAAGGGCGGAAGGGGCGGGGCCTGACTCCCGTGCCGTGGCGCCATTGGCTGAACTGGTTGCTACCCGGCAGTAGTTGCGAAGGTCAGCCCCGCCCCTTCCTCTTTCTCTCGTAGCAGGCGGCGGCGGCTCCTTCTTTTGCGGCTATGGTGAGCGAGAGGGAATCGGATACCATCCAGGCACCGTGGGGCTTGGGGGTCGGGGTGGGGGCCGTGGACTGAGTCCCGGAATCTCATCTACCCTCGGATATGGGAGGCGCCGCGCAGGGCTGCCCAGCTCTCGCGGCCCGCATCTCTCCTGCCCTGGGGGCTCAGGCCGCGGGCCGGGCGCGTCTTCCGTCCGTGGCCTGGGAAGGCCGCCTGCCGGGCTCCTGACCGGGACCTTACGTGCAGGCCAAGATTAAGGCTCGGGATCTTCGAGGCAAGAAGAAAGAAGAGTTGTTGAAACAGCTAGACGACCTGAAGGTGGAGCTGTCACAGCTGCGCGTCGCTAAAGTGACGGGCGGCGCGGCGTCCAAGCTCTCCAAGATGTGAGTGGGGAGGGCACGTGGCCTCGGGAGCGCCCCTGACTTGCCGAAGTTGGCTTCTGGAAGTAGCCATTCAGGTGCCCGCGAGGTGCATCCTTGGATCACGTGGGAGACCTGGCCGCGTCTGTGGTTGGAGAAAACTAGGGGTCCCTGAAGACCCTTCCGGTTTTTCGGTTTTGAGACTGTCTCGTTACATAGTTGCACCACGACTTGAACTCACTTTGTAGCCTAGGCCTTGAGCTCGAGACAGCCGTGCCTCAGCCTCAGGAGGGCAGGGATTACAGTCCAAAGACCCATTTTGTGCTGCCTTCAAAGCCTAACTGGGGCCAGTGGGATAGCTCAGCAGGACTAAGCACCTGCTTAGGCAAGCGCAGAGGCCAGTATTTGATCCCTGGCACCACATGCCATGTGGGCCCCTTCCTGGGCACACTGAGCCAGGCGTGGTGGCACATGCAGATAATCCCAGCGCTGAGGAGACTGAGACAGGAGAATCATTGCAAGTCTGAGCTGCATAGGAGCAAGACCATGTACCAAACACATAAAGCCTAACTGGACTCACCTGACTTCCGTTAGTCTGTTGGTGGGGAGGTATCTTGTGCCATGCATGGCCTATAACCTAAATTTGATTTATATGGGTAGAGACAGGGTAGTTGTGAACAACAGGGGTTTGGAGTAAATCCCTCTGGATGCACATTCCATATGCCAGATTGACGTGAGTGGGCTGCCCACTGCCCCCTACCCCAGGGCAGGCTTGCAGGAGACAGGAGGTAACTGAATTGGGGGGGGAGGGGCACAGGAGAGTAACACCGGGAGTCCTTGGGCACACATTCACCAGTCCTCTCCAGACTGACCTCCCTGTCCCCACACAGCTCCAAATGAAGCCTGCTGCTGATCCACCCACCCCATGCATCTCCCCTTCCCAGGTATCTGGGACCTTTCCTGAGACTCCTGAAGCTGGAGGTGCTTGACTGTGGCATGACTCCCTCCTTTCCCTTCCCGCAGGTTGATGTGGGATCAGCTTTTTGTCCTACAGGCCTTTTTGTCTCCATGGACACTATAGATGGCAGTGTAGGACTCCGGCCCCCATTCCTGCACCCTCCAGACACACATGATGGTGCTGTCTTGAGTGGGACATGACTCAGTCCTGAGTGAGATGCCTTGGGGAGTGCTGGCTCTTCCCCCACTTCTTACTGACCTCTTTGTTTTGTAGCCGAGTTGTTCGCAAATCCATTGCCCGTGTTCTCACTGTCATCAACCAGACCCAGAAAGAAAACCTCAGGAAATATTACAAGGTACGGGGCGCTGGGAAGGCGTGGTTGTGGGGGCTTGGGCCCCTGCTCTGCAGCTGGGTTTGCCCTTTCACCAACCTCAGGCCAGCAGTGGTCTCTGGCTGTTGTGGCATGAGTGGGTTGGCAGCAAGGGGTCTTGCTGCAGGTGTTGTTTTGGCAGAACCGGGGATTGAACTCAGACCCTTGCACTGGGAAGCGCTTATTCTACTGAGCCATCTCCCCGCACCCCTGCAGGTGGGGTTTTGAGTCTCCCTTTCCTGCCAAGCAAGCCTGCTGGTTTCTGAGGAGTGGGCCCCCTGGGCCCTGGTGTCCCTGCCGGGACTCTTCTAACTGTTCAGATGAGGACCGGGAGGATTGGGGGGGTGTGAGGAGCTGGGCCTTGTTTCCACACTGTGTCCCAGGGACCGAGTGAGTGTGTTTGGGGAACTTGCATGAGCATCTGATCTCTTGGTCTCAAGTTGTAACAGCCATCTTGTGGACTTGTTTGTTTTGTTTTTTTTAATTTTATGTATTGAGGGGGGCAGCTTCAGCCCACCAGGGGGCGGGGCTGGCTGGCTTGTGGTGCTGGGGCATTGAACCGCGGTCCCTGTGCTTTGCTAAGCTTGTTCTAAGGTGCTTCAGACCACTGAGCCATCTCACCAGCCTGAAATCTGTTTACTCCTCCCCCTTGAATCCTTTTTTTTTTTTTTTTTTTTTTTTTGCGGAACCAGAGATTGAACTCAGACCCTTGCACTTAGTCTACTGAGCTATCTGCCCAGCCCCCATCTTGTGGACTTGTGTCTGACTTTAGTTTTATCAGGGCTTGGGCAGAAGCTGCAGCAGGACCAGGTGTAATTGGGAGCTGGGTGGAATCTGCTGACCCCAGCTGGCATTTGGAGAAAACCACAGGCCTGCTTTTAAACAGGCGCTCGGGCTCAGCTGGCTGGCTTGCTCAGGACAGTCGTGCCGAATGGAAGTCCTCTGGTGGGGGTCTTAATATAAAAGCTGGTACATCAGAGGTGGCCAGGAAGAAGTACCTTTGTGGCTCTCATTGAATGTCCGGCTCTTGTGCCCAGCTCCAGTGCGTTACTGGATTGGAGCTCTGCACAGCCCTCGCTTGTGTGTTTGTAGAACCTTCGCTGAGGTCACGAGACACTGAGCCCAAGAGACTGAGACACTTGACTTAGATGTGGCCCCAATGGTGGCAGCAGAGGGGGGAACAGAGATGGTGGGACTTCCGTGCCCTCTTGCAGGCCTGACAGAAGGTTTGCCTTGGAGACTGCTGCTCTGAGAGAAGCTCCTGCCACAAGAGGGCAGAATGATGTTCTCCCTGGGCTGGAGTCCCCTGAGCACTGGCTGGGCATAATTGCGACTAGGCCTTGTTCCTGAGGTAAAAGAGAGACCAGTGAGCCCCTTGATCTGGAGCACCGCTGGTCCGCAGTGCAGACTACAGCTCGGCAGCGCACACTGCAGCGGCCTTGGCCAAGCCTTCCCTGGCTTGGCAGCAGCACCAGGACAGCAGCTCCGCATGGTGGCCTGGCTCTGTGGCTCTGTATCCTCACTCTGCAGACCAACTCCCCACCCCCGATCTTGCTTCTCCCTCTTCCCGTCTCTGTCCAGGGCAAGAAGTACAAGCCCCTGGACCTGCGGCCCAAGAAGACGCGAGCCATGCGCCGCCGGCTCAATAAGCATGAGGAGAAGCTAAAGACCAAGAAGCAGCAGCGGAAGGAGCGGCTGTACCCTCTGCGCAAGTTTGCCGTCAAGGCTTGAGCGGCGTCACAATAAAACTCAAACTCTGGCCTTGGTGCTCTGTGCCTGTGCTGTTTCCACCTGTGGCTGGCCTGGCTTGCAAGGAGGGCAGGAGTTCTGGGGTGAGGGCACAGGTGAGGTTGTAGTGGCATCCTCTGGGTGAGTGCCTGTCTCAATGGCCAGTGAGTCCCACTGGTCCCTTCTGTGCCACAGACCTTCCTTGAAGGTCAGGCACTTGTCACTTCTGTGGTCCCAGCCAGAGGAATGGAAGAGGGTGCCTCCCTGGGCCTCTGTGTATGTGTGTGTGTGTGTGTGTGCGTGCAGGTGCAGGTGTGTGCACATGCATGCACACGTGCTCATGAGTGTGTTAAGTTTCTCCAGCGTGACATCCTCCTGCCTCAGCCTCCCAGGTGACTGAGAATTACAGGCATATTATGCCACTGGCCCTGACTCCAATTTGATATCTTTTGAAACCACCTCCATGCTAGTTCCCAGTATCATTGTCTGCAGGGGACTTGTAAGATGCCCTTGTGGAGGGCCAGGGAGATGGCTCAGAATAAGCGCTTCCCTGGCAAGTGCAAGGACCTGAGTTCAATCCCTGGTTCCAACAAAAAAAAGATGCCTATGTGGGTGTTCTGGGCCTGGACCCTAGGGTCAAGGATGGGTCTCAGCCTACAGTATAGCACCTCAGACCTTGAATGGTTCAGGCAGCCCTGCTGATGAGGAGACTGGACAAGGAGTGGCGCAGGTGGCTGATAGTGCCCTGGCACTGCAGGTCCAGGTAAACAAGCCCAGGGACATGTGGCCTGTGTGTAGCAAGTGGCTTCTCCACAGTCACCATGACCCCTCAGGTGGGGCAAAGCTGCAGGGATGGCTTGGGCCATGTGTGACCCAGCCTTGATGCCTTGGGGGACCTGTAGTTAGCATGAAGGGGCAGCAGACACGAGGTGTGCATGTTCAGTGGCTGAGGCCCACCAGTCCTAGCTGAAGCTGGCAGTCTCCACACTAGCCTGTGGCCCACGTACCAGGGAGCATGTGCCACACAGGACGGCAGGCTGTAGGGCAACCCTGGCTGCCCCTCACCCTTGCATCCACAGGCACTTGGCACTTGCTGAGAACCACGGGCAGACTTTGTAGTCACTAAGTGTGCTGGCAGCGAGTTGCCCATCAGGGAGGGGCAGCAGGATTGGGAATCTGGGCAGGGCATGCACCCGGGTTGCACTGCCCAGGCCACAGGAGAGGCCTGAAGCACCAAACCCAGGTCGGGTACCCACCCCCCCACCCACCCCCCGTCGTCGTCATGGTCGTCGGCGGGCCCCCCCTGCTGGAAAGGGGTGCAGGGCCTCCTTTAGTCCACACCCAGGCTCCCTACTGGCTCAGCCCCCCACCTGACACTCAGCTGTTGCTGGCATTAGCCAGGTTGGTGTTCTTTCCCTTGTCTCCTTAATCTGCTGAATCCCTCCTGAATGCCAGGGGTCTGGAGAACAGGTGTCACCCCTGTTTGGTAGGGAAAGGACTCAGGACATTTAACCAAGAACACGGTCCAAAAAGCACAGCATGGATGACTTGACATACCATGAGAAATAAACTAGTTCCCCAAAGACAAAGTGCATAATGCCACTCGTGAGGTTCCTAGACAAGCCACATTCATACAACAGCCAGGTGTAGCAGACATCTTTAGTCACACATGAGGCTGAGGCAGGAGGACTGTCACAAGTTTGAGTTCTGCCTGGGCCAGCTCCATAGTGAGTTCAAGGCCAGGTTGCACTACACTGGTACTCTCTGTCTCAAAATGTCGAGATGCTAAAAAGTACCACCTTTGTTTTATTTTTTTTATTTGTTTTATTAATTTTTTTTTTGGCAGAACCAGGAATTGAACTCAGGCCCCAGGCCCTTGTGCTTGCCAGGCACGCACTTATTCTACTGAGCCATCCATCTCCCCAGCCCCTGGGCTGAGCCCTTTCTCCACAACTGGAACCCAGGCAAGACTCCATTCTAGAGTCAAGCCCAGAACACCAAGTTCACAAGCTGCTCTTACCCTTGAGGCCACTTTATTTTTTGTTATATTTACTTTTTTTTCCCCCCCAGAAGGCCGGTACTATGAAGTTCAGGCTGGCCTTGAAATCACTAGGTAGCTAGTGTGGGTTGGAACTCACCGAACTCTCCTGCCTCGGCCTCCGGAGAACTAGGATGCGACACCACACCAGGTTCCCAAGTCTACTTTAGAGCCAGGGACTACAAGCCTACCAGGACCTGTGATTCCTCCCTGGAGCGAGTCCAGAGCTCTTATTAGAACCAGAGATCAGAACCTAGAGCTAAGGCCAAGTGTGGTGGCACAAGCCAGTAATCACAGCGTTCAGGAAGCTGCGAGACCAGCCTGGGCTACACAGTGAGCTCTCAAGGCCAGCCTGAAAGGCATAGCGAGACCCTATCTCAAAAGGACCGGAAAAAAAGCAAACAAAAAAAACAACCTAGAATTATTCTAGAGCCGGGTCACTGTAGAACCGCCTGGAAACCCCACTATCCAGAACCAGGAATCACGCCAGACCCCTAAGCAGGAGCCTGCATTCTGGATGCCGGTTCGGCCAGGACTGCACGCATTGCCCCGCTGTGCCCAGGTGCCCTCAGATCTGGGCGGTTCCAGCACCTAAGGAGACGCGGCCGCTGGGCGGGAAGGGAGGGAGGGTGCTAGGGGACCGAAGACTGTGTACAGCAGTCTCCATGGTGACCGGGGCGGGGCGCTGCCGCCGCGGTGCACTCTGGGAAGCCACGACAGACCTTGGGGCCGCAGCGGGCGGGAGTGGGTAGCGGGGAGGAGGGGCTTCTGCCTATGAAGAGCGCGCCGGTCCCCGGATATGGCGCGCGATGACCGCTAGAGGGCGCGCAAGGCCCGCTCACTGATCGCGGACGCTCTAGACAGGGAGAGGTCTCCCCTCTGCGCAATCCCGGACCTAAACAGGGTAAGTGCCCAGGAAGGCCAGCTCAGGAGCTAAGACCCACGCTGTCCACGTGCGGCTGCTGCTGAGGCAGAGAAGCCCAGCACGGGAAGCCAGGCCTGCATCACTAGTACTCTGGGAGGCTGGACAGGGTGGCAAGTGCCAGCCCAACCCGGGCAACTTAGCGACCCAGCGAGACCTTGTCTCAAAATAAAAAAGAAAAAGGGGGACCGAGGAGATGGTTCAGAGGAATAAGCGCTTCCCTGGCAAGCGCAAGGGCCTGAGTTCAATCCCCGGTTCCGCGAAAAAAAAAAAAAAAACACGAAAAAGGGCTGGAGGGGGCCGGGGAGATGGCTCAGTGGAATAAGTGCTTCTCTGGCAAGCGCAAGGGCCTGAGTTCAATCCCCGGTAGCTCAAGGGTTCAGTGCGTAGGAAAAATAAAAGAAAAAAAAAAACGGCTGAGGACAACAGCCTCCTCCGGTTTGCTGCATGGAGGTGCGGGGGGTGGGAGGGTAGGGTGTGAGAGGTTGGGGTCCCCGCTGTTCCCAACATTCCCTGCAGCACAGAGTGGGCGTCTCCCCGGGGCTGCTGGGAAACTGAGGACCCGAGAGATGGAGAGGGTTCTCAAGGGAGAGCACAGCCGGGGCTCCGCCCTGTGTGCCTGGCCTGGGTGTGAAGGCCCCTGACGCCCGGAGCTGAGCCCCCAAGAAGACGCGCCTCAGGCTCACCAGCACGGGCGGGCGCGCAGGGCCGCCCCGACTCCAGGCTCCCAGTGGTGACTCAGCCCTGCCCGCCCCCCCTCAGAACCTTCTCACGAGACTGCGCTCCCGCTCTATTTTCGGCCCAGACAATCAGGCGACAATGTCTAGGGGGCGACAATGGTAGCTTTGAGGAGACGCCACCCTCTTCCTCGCTCCCACAGGCCTGGGTCTGAGAGTTGGCTCTTTGGGAACTCAAAGGTCATGTCGCCCCCGACCCACGTGGCTCCCAAACAGGCCTACAGCACATCCCACGCCCCCGCTCGCGTCTTAGCTCCCACCCCGTGTCTCAGCTATCCAGCCACTCCAGCCTGGCCCAGAACCACCCTCCCCAGCCCAGAGCCCTTCTGGTGGGCCTCACCCACCAGACCCTGGGCGCAGGGGGTACAGGTGGGGTTAAAATCCATTTGCATCTGGCGTGGTGACATATCCAAATCCCAGCTCTCAGGAGGCTGAGGCAGGAGGATTGCCTCGAGTTCACAGCCAGCTTGGGCTACATAGTGAGCCTAGACTACATAGTGAGACCCTGTCTCAAAAAAAGAAAAAAACACCTGAGCACGGTGGCACACCCCTGTAATCCCAGCACTTGGGAAGCTGAGAAAGGAGGATACTTTCAAGTTTGAGACCAGCCTGGGCTACAAAGTGGGCTTAAGGCCAGCCTGAAATGCATAGCGAGATCCTGTCTCAAAAAGAGAAAGAATGGGGCTGGTGAGATGGCTCAGTGGTCTAAAGCACCTACTTAGAACAAGCTTGGCAAAGCACAGGGACCACGGTTCGATCCCCCAGCACCACATGCCAGCCAGCCCCGCCCCCTGGTGGGCTGAGCTGGCTACACACACACACACACACACACACACACACACACACACAAATAAATAAATAAATAAATTTAAAAAAAAAAAAAAAGAGAAAGAAAGGGGGCCAGGGAGATAGCTCAGCAGAATAAGCCCTTGCGTGGCAAGCGCTGGGTCCTGAGTTCAATCCCTGGTTCCACAAAAAAGAAAGACTTTTTTAAAATGCCGCAATCAGCTGTCATGTGTCCCAGGGGCCCAAGCAAAGGGCCCACTGTCCCATCCCATTATCCTTGCCCGCTGCCCCTGCGCTTGGCCACATGGTCCTTCTCCCCCCAACCCCACCCCCACCTCTCCGAGGCCTGTCCACAGCCCCCTCTGGACCATCCTGCCTGTCCTGGTCTGACTGAGTCCAAGCTCCACGTCCCTTCCTGAGACAGGGCCACCCAGGCACACTGTCCACAGGCCAGGTTGAACCCAGGCTCTGCTGCCTCCAGGGCTATGACCTCAGATGAGCAGTTGATTGCGCCATCCCTGTCTCCTGGTCTGCACGTGGGTCCCCAA